GAACAAGGAGTTCTAAGTGAAAACAATGCAGGGATCCCATTTTAGGGAAATCGAAGCACTGCTTTCACCCCCTGGTTCCCATAAAAAGCACGGAAAGTTTATTTTGTTCCCAAGGAAATTCACTGTTGTGTAGCTCCTGAACCATCAACACATTTTTAAAAATTATAATTTACTGCCGCATTTGGCTGTGAAACATACTGAAAGAAGGTTGAAGTCAGATTCACAAGATATGAGTTCGAATTCTGGATCCATTACTTCATACAGTCATGTGACCTCAGGCAAAAATGTAACCGCTCTGAACTGCATCTGTTAACCAACCACGGTGATGTCAGCCTCTAAGGTCGTTTGGCCAATGGAGGCCAGCACGCGCTCCTGTTCCAAGCCTTTCGCTATTTTACGGAGTTGGGCATCTAGAAGAGTAAACCTCTTCAACCTTCTGGGCTCCAATTCTGGAGTCCCTCTTCCATTCATTTCTGCTGGCAGGACTGAAATCCCCTCCCAGGCTTCCCCCTTTTTTCTGCAGTCCCTCGCTCTAATTTCAGTCAGGAGTACCCAACATGTGCTAACAGTTTAATCCTAAAGGTGTGGGGTCTGCCTTCCGGGTCGTCCCAGGTGAAAACTTCAGCAAGTGTCTGGCTGCAACACAAAGCTAATTGCTGGAACAGTCTGAATGTTTCCGTGGCTTAACACATTAGAACTTAATTTTTTTTTTTTTTTTGGTAGCATTGGAATGACATCAGGGGTTTGAAGGGCACACTTCCGTGTGGGCATTCAAGGACTCAGGCTTCTCCCGTCTCGTGGCTCCTCCAGGTCCAATCCGTGTGCTCCGTGGAGTGGGGTGAGAATGTGGCACGTCCCACAAGCCTGACCTGCAGGGGACACGCATCACTCCTCCTTGCATTCTGTTGACCAGGACTCCATCATATGGCCCCGTCCTAGATGCAAGGGGAATGTGGACTCCTGGCTTAGCATAAATCCTTTGTCATCAGCTTGCCATTTCTTCCTCGCTGTGCTTCTCTCAAAATGTTGCTATGTGGGTTAAAAATGCAAAATAGACGTAAGTTCCTTTTAGAGCAAAATTGTGCTGTAAACGAAAAGGATTTTTTTCCCCCTGAAAGCAAGCTTGTTACACGTTATGACTGGGTTCTCCTGAACATGGTTAGGCACCTAATAAGTTAATGACTTGAGCCGTCATCACCAGGTCTTAACATTGCTCTTATGGGGGAATGCCTACCCAGTTCCAAACTACTGGCCTAAAAATAGGCTCTTGGAACTTATTTCATAAGTTAGTGGCTTCCTCTACCAGCTTTGTAGAGCGCGTGTTCATTTTGATTCGATTTCTGCTTGATCACAGTTTGATTCCATTTATATTTAGTTTGTGATTTTATGCTAATTTTACATCTCGTCTGTATTAGCGATAAGGTGCAGTTGCCTCTCAGCCTTGACTTCCAGAGTCACTGGTGACACTTGTTGCCTACTCTATCTATGTCAGGTACGCTCTAAGTACATTCTCATTTTAATCCTCCTGGTAATGCTGCAAGGTATGCATGATTACCTCTATTTAATTATTGAGAAAACCAACTTGGAGAGCGTAACTATGCTACTTTTCTATTACTTTTGTGGCAAATTACTACAAACTTAGTGACTGTGTTCTGTACTAGAGGCTCTTGGGGAAGAATCAACTGTGAGCTCGTTCAGGTTGTTGGCAGAACTCAGTTCCTTGTGGCTGTAGGACTGAGGTCTCTGCTGCCTTGCTGGCTGTAGGCTTGGGCTCTTTCTCAGCTTGGAGAGGTCACCAGCCTTCCTTGGCTCATGGTCCCTCCATCTTTAAAGCCACAAATGCTGTGTCAAATCCTTCTCATGGTTGCAATGTCTCTGACTTCCGCCTTTTTAAAAGTTTTTTTTTCTTTAATTTCAATTCCAGTATAGTTAACATACAGTGTTATATTAGTTTTAGGTGTACAATATCATGGTTCACCAATTCTATTCATTACTCAGTGCTCATTCTGAGAAGTGTACTCTTTAATTCCTATCACATATTTCACCCAGACTTCTGCCTTTTAAAGGGCACAGCCGGATAATCTCCATATCCTAAGGTTAGGTGACTTGGGACTTTAATTACGTCTACAAAATGCCTTTGTAACAGTACCTCGATTAGTGTTTGATTAACCAGAGGATGGGAATCTTGTGGGGGCCATGTTTAGAATTCTGCCTGCCCCAGTAACTAACTTGCCTCAATTGGCACAGCTAGAGAGTTGGAAAGCAAGCTTTGGAAACCAAATGTACCCAGCATTAGTCCCTTTTCTGTCTATCAGGTTGCCCTTCTTGCAGAAAGGAGTGGTGGGCAATACCTGAAGAGAATGTCCAGCCCCAATTCCTAACCTAGAGGCATAGAATTTAAATAATTCCTACATTAAAAGTTATAGATTTAACATTTTTAAATTGTGCATCAAAGTAATACTCTTTTCCAAATGCCACCACCGGAGAGATGGTATGCTTGTGGGCTACCCAGACAGATCTGGATAAATTCTAAGAGCCACCGTTTATTCATTCTGAAATGCCAAGCCTCAGTTTCAGCACTGTATAGTGGGATAATAATAGTATCTTACAGTTGCATCATGAGAGACTGAAGCAATGACACTTATAAATGTTTTTCATAATTCCTGGCACACAGTAAGCACTCAGTTGTTAACCATCACCTCCGCCAGCATTATCCTCATCATCGTGTTGTGGTCCTTGCTGGCCATCAGCCCAGACAGCAAGTGCATATGAAGTGTATCAAGTATTTATATCCCGTATGATAACATGTAAGACAAATCACGTGCATTTGTCAAATGGGAGGAAAAACTATTATGCCCCCGATCTCATTGCTGACTTGACTTTGCTTCTGAAAACCTCAGCTGTGGATTAATAAGTGTAAGACTTGCTGATTTTTCCATCTCTTGGAGACTCAAGAATAAAAGGGGAGGATTTTTTCTGTGCCACTCATGTAACTGAGCGTTTGTCTGCTTGGTTCCGATTCTGCTGGTCACTTAAATGGATATAAGTTTCATGTCATAATTCACGAGCCCTTGTGTCACTTTCAGGGCCCTCCTCTCAACGTGTCCTCCTCCTTTTCCCTCTTGATCCAAGACCCATTATTGGAAGGTCTCTAACATATGTTTCATTTTACTTTTACTCCAGACTCGAGCTTGCTGTAAACAAGAAATTTATTTTTAGTATTTTTGCTCTGCATTTTATTCAGATCTTTTCTCTTTCTGCATTTGCACCACATTCCTAGGCTGCTGTGAAGCCAACTTTTTCAGTGTGAGAAAACGAAATGTCATGGAATGAAGGCTTGGTGGCGACCAACGGAAGCGCCTGTTGAGTCCTCTGTGGGAGGAAGCTGGAGACCCCTGGATGGTTTAAGCAGAGATTTGAGCGAAGAATTATGAAGGACAGAGGTGGTAGGAGGAACCCCCGGGACTGGTTCTAAGCAGCATACGCTGAAGAAAACGTGGGGCTGTTCAGACCTCCGTTAGGATGGGGGAGTGTGGGTGGGAGAGGCCACCATGGTGTAGACACTCCTCCGCCCACCGCAGCCTCCAGAAATCAGCAGTGGAAACGTTCCATGGTATGGTAGTGTTGCCGTTGGAGCTGCAGTCCGAGCTTTGGATTTAATCACCTTACATCAGTTCTATGTATTATTCAAACGTAGGGAGAGGAGAGAAATTTCTAGTGAACAAAACCTTGTGAAAGCCTTCTGGCTCTGCTACCTCCCCCCTGCATTTAACCCAGCCGCCTGCGACGTCCTTTACAAGGTGATGCGCGTCTTTTGCTTTCCGTGTTAGCTTTTAAGCATTCTCATCGTCTAAGTCACGGTTTCTCCACCGTGACCCTCGGACATTTGGGGCCGGGTCATTCTTTGTTTTCCCTCGGCATTTGCTCCACACCCGGAGAGCCTTCAGCAGGAACACCTGAAGCCCTGCTCCTGAGGGCTCTTTTTGGTTTTTCTTCTGATGAGGGGCAGTGCTAGGGAGTTAACGCCTATGAAAGGAGCCCTGGGCAAGTGTTGGATGGGGAGGCGCCGGAGAGCTGGGACAAATGTGCGGCGTGGTCCACACTGTCTCCCAGCGCTCTCTGATGGGATTGGGCCCCAGTGGCCACAGAAGTGACTTGTTTGATAACGCACCTCTACCGATATCTGCCCCTTCGCTGACTCCCCTCCCAAATAAACTGTATACATTCACATCCTTGTCTCAGGGTCCACTCGTAGGGGAACGCGAGCTGAGACTCCGTGTTCCAAACATTGCAATTCGGGATGTCTGGAGAAACCTTGAGCCAGTTCTCTAAGATTTGTCCACGAAACGCCATTGATCAGTGTTGTCGCCAAGTGCTCTAAGGCCTACATCCTGGGTGGGCCAGGCCACGCTGGGGATGGGTGCGCGCTGCTGTGTGTCTGCGCTGATGTGGACATTGTTATTTCTCGTGGGTTTGTTCTGAGTAAAGCTCTTGGAAATTGTGTTTTCCCACAAGTTCCACAAATGTTTCCACATTTTAGAAATTGTTTGAGCATGCTCTAAGCTGTGACTTTGAAAGTCAAACAGTTTTGGCTGGTGATATTATTTTTAAAGAAACAAAACAGTCTTGTTTTGTTTTTAATTCTGGCTTTTGTTATGCTTTGCAATCCTTTTCTGCTCTGAGGGCCTTTACTTCCTTTGTTTAGTGCGTGGCTTTGCAGAAGGCTCATGGAAGTATTTGGTAGACATTTTTATACAGCTGTGATTACAGTGAATTTTCCTGGTAATACTTTACATTCTAAAGCCCTTATAACATAGAATGTTTCATTTAATCCTCACCCAAATCTGGGATGATAGGATTAGCATCACGCTTTAATGAAAGAGAAAGCCAAGTTCCAGAAAGTTTAAGTGAGTTTCTGTTTAGCACTTTTAACTAGTCACGAATTAACGTAAAACTTTCATCAATGTGATCAGTGGTTCTTCAAAGACCGCAAAGACACAGCCCTCAGCAGCAGCTAGCACGCGGAGAAAATGAACACAAGTGAGTCAGAGACTATAGCAGCATGTCCCTAGGTGCTTTTCTGACCTTCCAGGAAATCTTCACTATTGCCGTCAGTCTCCAGCGACCTCTCAGCACCATGAAAGTTGTGGTCCATCTTTCCCGCGGCAGCAGCTAGGAGAGCATGGCACCCCTGTGTCGGTTCACACAATCTAGTGCAAGTCTTTATCTTGCTTGTGCTAAGGTTGTGCCTGGCAAGAAGAGGAAGTACACGACTGTTTCATATGTCGACGTTGGATTTTGAGGCGAGGTCCAAAGCAAATTGGTTCTGTTCCTGCCAAGGACTGGAATCTTACCTCTGGTACCCAGCCCGGCCTCAGAGTCCCCACTGACAGTTGCCATCCCTGAGACTGAGCTCAGTCTGATTTCTTAAGCCTTTGCCTGTTGCCCAGTGTCGGTACCGGGGTTGCTCCTATGGGAACCCAACCCGATTACCTCCTCTGGGCCCTTCTACCAACAATGAACCTGACTCATGACTAATGCATTCTGCACTAACCAGGATTTATTTGGAAAACAGAAAACCTTTAGCTATTTCAAGAAGAAAGTGATTTGATACAAGAGTTGGAGGCTTACTAAGGAACTGGAGAGGCCGGCAGTCACCTTTATCGAAATGGGGCGGATAGTAACATAAAGAAAGAACCGCCGGTGATCTCAGCTACCTGCCGTAGCCAGAAGCACCTGGCGACACCTCCCATTGCTCATCTGCCAAAGCTCACACACCTGCCTGCCACCACCACACTGGGCATTGGCTTCTCTCCTGCCCCGTGAGTGTGTCCTGTTTGTGTGGCCTCACTCTCAACCTCGATGACACAAAGCCTGGAGAAGGTAGCTCACACACTTCTAGCCTCAGAGATACTGGGAACAGCGTAAAAGAAAGAACATAGTGCTGAGTAGCTTACTGATAGTACAGGCTGTATCCTGTCTCTAGAAATTTTCTGAAGCTGAGTATTGAGCCTTTAAGTAGGACACTTAAAGAGGACAGTGTTACTCCTCCAAAGTCAAAGATGCTAAGAAAAACATTTCTTATCTGCAGCTCTGTAACGGTGGCCTTGCAGATGCCACTGCCCCGGAAGCTCTGGTGCTGTCCAGCCACCGTCGACCCCACCGTGTTCTTCAATGTCACCGTGGATGGCAAGCCCTTGGGCCATGTCTCCTTTGAGCCGGTTGCAGACAAAGTTTCAAAGACAGCAGAAAACTTTCGTGCTCGGAGCACTGGGGAGAAAGGATTTGGTGATAAAGGTTCCTGCTTTCGCAGGATTATTTGGGAATTTCTGTGCCAGGACTGTGCCTGCACATGCCATAATGGCACTGGTGGCCAGTCCATCTATGGGGAGAAATCTGACGATGAGAATTTCATCCTGAAGCACACGGGTCCTGGCATCTTGTCCATGGCACATGCTGGACCCAACACAAATGCTTCCCAGGTTTTCATCCCCACTGCCAAGACTGAGTGGTTGGATGGCAAGCATGTGGCCTCTGGCAAGGTGAAAGAGGGAAGGAATGTTGTAGAAGCCATGGAGGGCTTTGGCTCCAGGAATGCCAAGGCCAACAGGAAGACCACTATTGCTGACCAACACTTGACTTGTGTTTTATCTTAACTACCAGACCATTGCTTGTGTAGCTCATGAAGGCACCCCTTCACCCCCATCTGCTGGAAATATCCTATAATCTCTGTGCTCTCGCTGCAGTTCTGTGGGTTCCATATTTTCCTAATACTCCCCTCCAGGTCTAGCTGGATTGTGGAGTTATGTTTATGATAATGAAAGAAAAACTAAACAGCAACAATAACACCAACCAAAGATTCTGTAATGGTTCTAATAGTGGATGTGAATCACTTGTATCAAGTGATTTGATACAAGAGTTGGAGGCTTACTGACTAGTCCAAGCAGAACTACCAGGAAAATTGGGCAACTCTCTGTACCCACACCCTTACTCTGCGCAGTATAGTTGTACCCTGAGATTTCCTTATTTCCTGGTAAAATATGTACCACACTTTAGTCAGCTGACTCAGTGTCTGTTCTACTCCTGTATGCCAAGGTCACAGTCTTGGATACGTTTTGGGCTAAGTCTGCTCCTCCAGAGACGAGTCTTGGAAAAAGTCCCCAGGAGGCAGTGGGGACTGGCCAGTGGGTCATCCCTGAGTACCTGCTCCATCACATAGTCGTCCAGGGCATGGGACTTGGCTGAGTGCTAACACCACTGTGGCTGTTGCTTTTAGTGGCATATTATACTTGTCATCTGATTCACAACATTTGCTTCCAGAAGCTGTGCTTTTGGCCTGGGTGCAAGACTAAAAGGCTGAAGCAACCATGAAATTGACCTAATGCTGTTTAAAAATGTTACTGCTTCTTACGAGTCATGAAGTCTGATTTACTCCTCATAGAATGCTAATAATCAGGTTTCTTTTCATCGCAAAGTGAAATAGTCTTTGTATATTCATGATTAGGTATTGGGAAGGAAATTTTACTCTGTTTAGTAGATTAACTAATAGTAAATATGAAGCCGTGATGTATTTTTTTTCCCTCAAGAACATTTCATAAAACCAGAACTCAGTAAAGCCAGTTGTTCTTTTGGATAAGCCAAATAAAAGGTGTTCTACCTAAGCACCTAGGGACTCTTGATTTAATCTAACTGAAATATTAACTTCAATTTTTTTAAGACTTCAATAACTGATAGTTCTAATTTATTTCTTCTGAGAAATTTGTGTTGGAATTCTAATCGATATTATTCTAACGATTAAAAAAATTCTGGTTGGAAAGTAGAGATATATCTACTATTAAAATTTTGTTTCTTTGATAATGATTAGCAAGCAAACGGAAGGGCATAAGAACTTAATAATGAAAATATTAAATTTTAAGATCATTTTCCAAAGTAGGTAGTTAATTAACTGGAAGCTGTACTCTTTTCTTGCTCTATATTGAATTGTCCTTTACTTGCACTGAACACTGGCTTATTGTTTCTTCTTGCTGTCTCTCATTTTGTTTTCATGAAGTAAAGGCTCTTCATATGATTTGTCTGTTGACAATGGTAACATGTCAGCAAGATATTTTACAACAGAGTAGTTTTGGGGCTGCATACGTATGATATGTTAGACCCCTAGACAGATATAAAGATGAGACATCAAGACTAAGAATGCTAAGAGACATGTTCTGGAAAATAAGTCCTGTAGGAAATCATTCTAAGCGAATCAACAATAACTTATCAAAGGGTATAATGTTTCAGTTCTAGGAGAAACCAAGAATACTAGAATTTGTTCCAGAACTTCACTTCACCTTGATTTAATGTATAAACATGAATGTGAAATTATGCCAGTTCCTTCTAGACTTAAATTGTGATATGAAATGAGGAACTGGTAGCTGTGATCAAGTTCCTGATTCTTACAAATGATGAAGATATGCAAAGTATATTTCCAGTCTTTGTATAAACGCATTAATGTTCTGGCTCATTGGAGTATTTTTCTGATTAACCAGTGGATACGTACTTATATGTGTGTGCTTGCCTGGAAGAGAGAAATGCTTACTCTTGATTAATGTGCTTCTGATTATATACATCTTGTGGGGTTTCATAAAAGTGTATTCCTTAATCTCCACCACATATTTCCCCCATCCCCCCACCCACCTCCCCTCTGGTAACCATTGGTTTGTTCTCTATCGTCAAGAGTCTGTTTCTTGGTTTCCCTCTCTCTCTCTTTCCTTTGCTCATTTGTGTTGTTTGTTAAATTCCACATATGAGCGTAATCATACGGTATGTCTTTGACTGACTTATTTCGCTTAGCATAATACTCTCTTCTATCCATCCGTGTCATTGCAAATGGCAAGATTTCATTCTTTTTAAATGACTGACTAGTATTCCATCAAATATATATGCATATATATTTGTACATACTGCGTCTTCTTTAGCCATTTCTTTATCGATGGACACTTGAGCTGCTTCCATGATTTGGCCATTGTACATAATGCTGCTATAAACATAGGGGGTGCATGTATCTTTTTGAATTGGCGTTTTCATACTTTCTGGGCAAATACCTGTTAGTGCGATTACTGGAGTGTAGGGCAGTTCTGTTTTTAACTTTGTGAGGAACTTTGATACTGTTTTCCATAGTGGCTGCACCAGTTTGCATTCATTCCCACCGACAGTGCAAGAGGAACCGGTTCCCCTCTCTCCACATCCTTGGCAACACTTATTTTTTTCTTGTGTTTTTGGTGTAGCCATTCTGACAGGTGTGAGGTGATATCTCATTATGGTTTTAATTTGCATCTCCCTGATGATGTTCTTTTTGTGTGTCTGTTGGCCATCGGGATGTCTTCTTTGGAAAAATGTCTGTTGGTGTCTTCTGCCCATTTTTTATTGGATTATTTGATTTTGGGGGGTGTTGGGTTGTCTACGTTCTTTATATCTTTTGGACACTAACCCTTTATTGGGTATGTCATTTGCAAATATCTTCTCCCATCCTGTAAGTTGCCTTTTAGTTTTGTCGGGTGTTTCTTTCACTGTGCAGAAGCTTTTTATTTTGCTGTAGTCCATTAGTTTATTTTTGCTTTTTTTCTCTTGCCTCAGGGGACTTATCTAGAAAAATGTTCCTGTGGCTGATGTCAGAGAAATTACTGCCTTGCTCTCTTCTGGGATTTTTAAGGTTTCAGGTCTCACATTTAGGTCCTTAATCCATTTTGAGTTTATTTTTGTGTGTGATGTAAGGAAGTGGTCCAGTTTCTTTCTTTTGCATGTAGCTGACCAGTTTTCCCAACGCATTTGTTGAACAGACTCTCTTTTTCCCAGTGGATATTCTTTCCTGCTTTGTTGAAGGTTAATTGACCATATAGTTGTGGGTTCATTTTGGGGTTTTTTATTCTGGTCTGTTGATCTATGTGTCTATTTTTGTGCCAGTACCATACTGTTTTGATGACTACAGCTTTGTAATGTGACCCAAAGTCTGGAATTGTGATACCTCCTGATTTTTTTTTTCATAAGTGGGTATTTCAACTCTTCATCACTTAAATACAGTCAGTAATTAAATCATTCAAGGAATTTTAACATCTTGAAAACACTTATTTCAAATAATATATATTCATTTAATGTCTTTTTTGTTTTCTTATGAGTTTTCTAATAAAAAGTATTTTCTTTATTTTCAGCTCAGTGCCTTTTAAAAATGGTATTAATATGTGGTCCTAAGGATCCATGTATTCCAGGTGCTCAAGGGTCATTGTGTTTTTTTTAAGTAACTTATTTGTGGTGGGTTTTCTCCCTAAAGCAGAAATTACTCCAAATACACAGGCCTTGAGATTTAACAATTAGGCAATTAAATTAGAAAAATGACAACTGGCATGTGTTCAAAGTAATAAAGTTCCAAAAATAGAAAGTGAATCAAATTAACATAAAGGCATTAACTTTTTTCTGGGTGGCATGAGTTTGCAAAAGTCTTGAGTAATGAGATTTTCTTATTCTCAAAATAGCCAGAGAACCTTGAGTGACATTGCATTTCAAAGGTGGGGGCCAGAGGGAAGGTTGCTGTCGGTATTGGAGTGCCAAAAGGGCAGAGATTTCACTTTGAAATCACCTAGGCTAGTACATGCCGCTCTACTTTGAAATCTTTACCTAGTACTGTAAAGAAATTATTTTGTGTGTGTGGATTATCAAATGATTTATAAAACGATCCCTGGATCTGGAAATTTAGATGGCTTTTAAAACTTTATTTTTGTTGAGTTTTCCATGCTGTTTATATTTTCCTAACATTCAAGTAATGATAAAGTTTTTTTTTTTTTCATTTTAAAAAGAATCAATTCCAAATAGTATTCCCATTGTGTGGGATCGTTGGCTCTAAGCTTTGTGCTTTCTTGATATATCAGTTATATGCTAACAGGCTTTAAAAATTTGTGCACATGTAGGGTGCCTGAGTGGCTCAGTCAGTTAAGCGTCTGACTCTTGATTTTGGCTCAGGTCATGATCTCACGGTTCATGGGTTTGAGCCCCACATCCGGCTCTGTGCACAGAGCATACTTGGGATTTTCTCTCTATCCCTGTCTCTCTGCCCCTTCCCCGCTCGTGATCTCTCTCTCTCTCTCTCTCTCTCTCTCTCTCTCTCAAAAAATAAATAAACATTTAAAAAAAATTGTGCGTGTCGGGGCGCCTGGGTGGCTCAGTCGGTTAAGCGTCTGACTTGGGCTCAGGTCATGATCTCATGGTTTTGTGGGTTCGAGCCCCATGTCGGGCTCTGTGCTGACATCTCAGAGCCTGGAGCCTGCTTTGGATTCTGTGTTTCCCTTTCTCTCTGTCCCTCCCCCGCACATGCTCTGTCTCTCTCTGTCTCTCAAAAATGAATAATAAAAAAAAGTTAAGAAAAATTAAAAAAAATTGTGCACGAGCATTTGAAGAACGTATGAGTGAATGATCATGCCATTTCCATTGGTGTTTCACGCTGCAAGACTGGTTTTCAAATCCAAAGATTTGGAGATCTGTGGGCAGTTCCCCAAAGTAGTACAGTAGTTCCACTGTTTTAAAAGACAGTTTTCATTTTACATAATTTCTGGCATGTTCTGAAAAAGGCTGACATGCACACTTTTTTGCTGATTCCCCCAGTGTGGCCGTTATCCATTTTGTTCTGGGTGCTGTTGTGAAGGTCAGTCGAGGTAATGATGCATTACCCCTGTTTTCCTTACTTCCTGGCCTTCCCTCAGAGCTCCTGATCCCTTCTGTGGCCCTTCAGTGCTTCCGTCTTCCAGTGGCTATTGCCACCAGCCTTCACCTGAGCTTGTCAGCCCTCTGGACGTGCATGGGCATCCACATGTTGTACCCCCGGTTTTCATGTGGGACAGCCAGTGCTTCTTGAGACCAAGGAGGCCACGGCCTCCCGCAGCGCCCTTTCTTTGAATGAAAAGTGGATGGGGGTGGGGAAAGTTGGAAGGGCTGGCCCATTTTTTGTCCAGAGCTGGTTGGAAATTTGGGTTGGCCAAACATAACTTTATTTTCTTGGAGGTAATAGCCAGCCTTGATTTTATTTAATGTATTAATTTTTAAAAATACTATTTCAGGGGTGGCTGGCTGGCTCAATCGGTAGAACATGCAACTCTTAATCTCGGGGTTGTAAGTTCGAGTCCCACGTTGGGTGTAGAGTACGTAAAAATAAAATCTTAAGAAAACTTATTTCATTTTTGTGTGCTTATTGATGTTAAACAGATCATGAGTGCACACGGTTAACAAATTCAGATGGTCCAAAACAGATGTGCCTCCCCTCTCGATCTGGAGTCCAACGTTTACTTACCCAGAGTCCACCACTGATACCAAATTCTTGCATATGTTTTTATTCTTCCTTGATATCGTATGCATCTGTAAGCATGCATCTTTAAGCATGCATCTCTCTCTCTCTCTTCCTGTCCCTTTCACCACCTACCTGCCCCCCGCTCCCAGATACATACAAACTGTAGTATGCTATTCGGACAGAGTTGCTTACACTTAACAGAGCATGGCGATAGTTTCATACCTCTGGGTATGAAAGGGCTTTAAGTTTCTTCTCTTCAAGGGCTTCGTAGTATGTAACAATATGGAAATTAATTATAAACTAGCAGTCCCTTATTTTATTTAACCTGTCCCCTACTGATGGACATTTATGTTGTTTTGGGTCCTTTACTTTGGGTCAGGGGTTGACGAACACTTTCTGTAGAGGCCAAATCATAAATATTTTAGGCTTTGTAGGCCATGTAGTCTCTGTTGCAACTGCCCAGCCAATGCCCTCCTGTCACCGGAGCAGCCCTAAAAGGTATGTAAATGAATGGGCGTGGCTGCGTTCCAA